TAAGATCCCAGCAATCCTACACCTAATCACACTAGATAATTATGCCTAATCAACCCAAGAAAAGTATTCACATGGAAAACTATACACAAAGGTTTATGATTTATTATTTATAACTGTTTTCTAAAACTGGAAACAACTCAAGATGTTCTTCAATCAGTGAATGGCAAATAAACTTTCATGCATTTCTGCTATGGAATATACAGGATATTACTCAGCAATATAAAGGAATGAACTACCGATACATGCAATAACTTGGATGAATCTCAAATGCATTATGCTAAAGAAGGCAGTGTCAAAATGCTACCTACTGTATGCTTCCCTTTATATTGCATTCTAGAAAAGCAAAGTCAATGGTAACAAAGAACTGATCAGTGGTTGCTAGGAATCTGGTATAGAGGGAAGGCGCTATAGAGGGTTAGCACGAGGGAGTCTATCAGGAGTGATGGAACTTTCTGTTTCTTGATTGTGGTGGTGGTTACACAACTACACATTCCTCAAAATTCAAAGAACTATACACTAAGGGACTCCTGGGTGGTAACCAGTCACCTTTGTGCACAGGTTAAGTGTCTGCCTTCAGCTCAGGGCGTGGTCCCAGAATCTCAGGATGGAGTCCTATCAAGCTCCCCTCAAGGAGCCTGCTTCTCCCTCTGCCTATGTCTCTGCCTGCCTCTCTGTGTCTCTCATGAATAAATAAAAATCTTTAAAAAAAACCACTATACACCAAAAAGAGTGACATTTTGTGTAAATTATAAAGGATACAACAAAACATAAGCAACTTGCCAGCTAAATACTGAAAAAATGCATCCAGTGCTATAACTAAGAGGCCTCAGAAATTGCTTCTTACATTTTGGGCAAACAGACAAGGGAAGTAAAAACTCACAGTGCTGGGGGACAGAAGAAAACACTACATGGGGAAGAGGTTATTTAAAATGTGAGGAACTGCAGGGACAAACATGGAAAGATATGGAAGTGCACATTCAGTGTGGCAAGGGTATAGAGTGTAGGGTGTATGGAAGGGACAGAAGAGAATAGGTGAATACCTTGTATGCTATCCGAAGGAGTGTTGACTTTATTAGCAAAGAGGAGCCAAACGAATTTTTATGTGCAGGAGTGACACGATCCTATGTCTTACCACTACTATAGCCATGTGGATAAGGAGAAGGGGGGAGAAAATAAATGCAGGGAGATGAAAGAAGAGGAACTTACAAAACTTTGGGAGAAAGATAAGAATTAGTTGGGCAGTGACAAAGAAAGGATGAGTGCAGGCAGCCCAGGTGGCTCAGCAGTTTAGCGCCGCCTTCAGCCCAGGGCATGATCCTGGAGACCTGGAATCAAGTCCCACGTCGGGCTCCATGCATGGAGCCTGCTTCTCCCTCTGCCTGTGTCTCTGCCTCTATTTCTCTCATGAATAAATAAATAAAATCTTAAAAAAAAAAGGAAAGGATGAATGCAAGTGACACATCAGAGAGCCATATTATAAACAGAGATAACTGAATAATGTGAGGCATGAGAAATGGATAGGCCATGTCTCAGTAAGGTTTCTCAGTCAGCTAGGAAAAATAGGAGAAAAAGCAGGTCTTAAAAAAAAAAAAAAGCAGGTCTAAATATGAGGCATCTGACAAGCTGTATTTATAACTGGTTGAGTTTGAGATGCCTGCAGGACATGCATGTGAAATGAGATGAGGCAGCTGCTAATACAGGCTACGTGATCATTTGGAAACTTGGTGCTATTTTCTCTTAGACTCCCAACATGGGTTTCTGGACTCAACTCACAGAGGAACCAAATACTGACCAGAGCTAAACTGGCCACAAGATCACTAAGGAACAACCTGGACAATGATGACCAGAAGTGAGCCCGGCAACTTGACTCTTGACAGATAGAGAGACAACAGCTCTGGGTGCTATGGGAGGGCAAGAATAGCTGGTTCAGAGAACTCATGCTTAAATGAGTTGTGGGTGCCTAAACCATGCCATATGGAGAAAACTATAAATACATGACTGTATAGTTCTTGTGCAGAGATAAATATTTTGCGTAATAGGAAAGGGGATCAGAAAAATGTTCCCTTTGACCTGGAGTTATTTTCTCTCTCTCTGTAATGTAATGTCTTCCCCAAGAGCTTCTGAAAAAGTAAATGTGGACTCTCAGTGAACTAGGAAAAAGAGAGGGGTCTTCCTCAACTTGATAAAGAATATCTACCAAAAGTCTATATCATGCTTAATGGTGAGAAACTCAAAATTTTCCTACTAACATCAGGTACAAAAAAGAAATGACCCCTTTCAACTACTCCTTTTCTTCTCTTAAAAGATTTTTACTTATTTGAGAGAGAGAGAGAGAGAGCGAGCGAGCGAGCATGAGCCGGCGGGGGGGGGGGGGGCAGGAGAAGCAGCAGATGGAAAGGGAGAGAAAAATCTAAGCAGACTCCATGCTGAGCACAGAACCTGACACAGGGCTCAATCTCACAACCAACCCTGAGATCAGATCTGAGCCAAAACCAAAAGTTGGACACCTAATGGACTGTACCACCCAGGCACCCTCAATTACTCCTTTTCAACATCATACTAGAAGTTCTAGCTAATGCAACAAGAAAAAGCAATAAAAGGTATAAAGATTGGGAAGAAAGAAGTAAAACTGTCTTTGTGCACAGGTGACACACCTGTCTGGGCAAAGAACCCAAAAGAATTGACAAACAAAAAAATTACTAGAACTAATAAATCCAGAGCAAAGTTGAGAGCTGCAAAGCTAATACACAAAAGTTCATTGCTTTCCTATATAACAGCAATGAACAAACAGAATTTGGAATTGAAAGCACAATGCCATTTACATTAGCACCCCCAAAAATGAAATTCTCATGTATAAATCTAACAAAATATATAAAATGTCAATATGAGGAAAACTGTAAAACTCTGATAACAAAATCAAAGAACTGAATAAATGGAGGGATATTCCATTTTCATGGATAGGAAGACCCAATATTATTAAGATGTAACTCTTCCCAACTCGATCTCTAGATTCAATGCAATCCTAAACAAAATCCCAGCAAATTATTTTGTGGATATCAACAAACTGATTCTAAAGTTTATACAGAGAGACTAAAGACATAGTATAGCCAACATAATATTAAAGAAGAACAAGATTGAAGGAATGACTTCAAGACTTACTAAAAAACTACAGACATCAAAATAAAATGATACTGGTGAAAGAACTGACAAATAGATCAATGGAACAGAAGAGAGGGCCCAGAAACAGACCCATGTAATATAGCCAATTTCTCTTTGACAAAGGAGCAGGGGTAAATACAATGAAGCAAAAACAGTCTTTTCAACAAATAGTGCAGGAACAACTGGATTTAGGCATGCAAAAAAAAAAAAAAAGAATCTAGATACAGATCTTACATTCTTCATAAAAATTAACTCAAAATGGACTATTGACCTAAATGTAAAACATAAAACTATAAAACTTCTAGACAATAACATAGAAGAAAACTCAGATGACTTTGGGTATGACATAACAACAAAAACATAATCCATTAAAGAAAAATGTGATGGGCTGGACTTTATTAAAATGAAAAAACTTTTGCTTTGCAAAAGACAATATAAAATAGAATGAGAAGACAAGCCACAGACTGGGAGAAAATATGTGCAAAAGGCACATTTGATTAAAAAAAAATATTATCCAAAATATAAAAAGAATTCTTAAAACTCAACAAAAAAAAATCCAATTTTAAAAATGGGCAAAAGACACCTCAGCAAAAATATTCAGATGGCAAATAAGTATATGAAAAGATGCTCCATGTCATATGCTATCAAAGAATACATATTAAACAAGATACCACTATATACCTATTAGAATGGCCAAAATCCAGAACACTGACAACACCAAATGCTGGTGAGCATGTGGAACAGACATTCTCATTCATTGCTAGTGGGAATGCAAAATAGCATAGCCACTCTGGAAGACAGCTTGGCAGTTTCTCACAGAACTAAACATATTCTTACCATATGATCCAGCAACTGCAATCATTGGTATTTATCCAAAGTTCCTGAAAACTTATGTCCATACAAAAACTTGCACATGGAAATTTACAGCAGTTTTAATCATAACTGCCAAAAATTGGAAGCAACCATGATGTCCTTCTTCAAAATGGATAAACTGTGGTACATCCAGACAATGGAATATTTATTCAGCACTAAAAAGAGCAATCAAACAACAAAAGATATGGAGAAACCTTTTTTTTTTTTTTTTTTTGATATGGAGGAAACTTAAGTGCACATTACTAAGTAAAAGAAGCCAAACTGAAATGGCTATATACCCTATGATTTCAACTATATGACACTCTGGAAAAGACAAAACTATGAAGACAGTAAAAAGTTGTTGGGGGTGGAGTGGATGGGGGCCTAGGTGGTGCAGTCAGTTGAATGTCTGACTCTTGGTTTCGGCTCAGGTCATGATCTCAGGGTCATGGGACTGAGCCTTGCATCGGGCTCTATGCTCTGTGTGGAGCCTGCTTGAAATTCTCTCTCCCTCTTCCTCTGTCCCTCCCATTTGTATACACTTGTGCTGTCTTTAAAATCAATCAATAATCAATCAATCAATCTTTACCCCAAAAAAAGTTGCTGGGAGGAGGAGATGAGCTAAATAGGTAGAGCACAGAAGATTTTTAGTGCACTTAAAGCACTCTGTATGATACCATAATGATGGATAAATGTCCACAGAAGGTACAACACTAAAAGTGAACCCTAGTGTAAACTATGGATTTTGAGAGATTCTGATGTGTCGATGTGGGTTCACTGTAACAGATGTACCACTCTAGCGAGTGATGCTGATAGTGGGAGAGAATATGCATTGGGGGGGGAAGGGAAGAGGTATATATGGGTAATCAGTGTCTTTTCCCCTCAATTTTGTGCTATGAACTAAAACTGCTCTCAAAAAGTTAAGTCTTCATAAAAGAAAATCAAATAAATGAAGGCATTTTCTTTAGACATGTACTCCCTTTTCTTACCATGATTCTCAGCTCTAATGTACTTGTTCCTCATCTCCTGCTGCTGATGCACATAGGTCCTCCAAGTCTGGAACATCAGGTTGTACAAGTAATATCTGAGGAGGGAAAAAAATGACATTTCTTTACTTATTTTCTAAAGTTTATTTATAATATCTACACCCAACATGGGACTTGAACTCACAACCCTGAGATGATGAGTCCCATGCTCCAAAGACTGAGCCAGGCTGGTGCGCCAAATGGCATTTCTTTAAACAAAAAAAACTCCTTTTTTTTTTTGACAAGATTTTTATTTATTTATTCATGAGAGACACAGAGAGAGAGGCAGAGACACAGGGAGAGGGAGAAGCAGGCTCCATGCAGGGAGCCAGATGTGGGACTCGATCCTGGGACTCTAGGATCACGCCCTGGGCCAAAGGCAGGCGCTAAACCACTGAGCCACCCAGGGATCCCCTAAACTAAAAAACTCCTAATTCAATATACCCAGTCCATTCTGTACTCAGAAATTAACATGGATGCTTCTGATACAAAAAAGCCATATCTATATCTGAAGCTAAAATTTTATTTCCCATAGTCACAGTGAAACCTACTCTCCTTGATGGAGAGTCATTCTCACCTCACAGTATCACTGAGGAAAAATAGCTTGAATTATCTGATAATAACTTCACCTTCAGCATTCACAAAGCTATGACAGTCATATCTTTATCATCTTAATTATCCATATTATGTAAAACATCACCTCTCCTCTATGCTAAACATAGTCAATGACACTTTTCCTTTGTCTTTTCCTTGTATTGAGAAGGAAACACATTAAGATTGTCAGTCCCTCCATATTTTCTCTATCCCATTTCCTAAGACTTGATTTCATGCTCTACCAGCTTACTAGAATGATTAAACATTGTCTTCATTTTATCTGAAATACCCATAAATCAGAAACCTTGATCCAAAGAACCTAAATAAAGAAGTGATTATGGGGTGCCTGGGTGGCTCAGTTGGTTAAGTGACTGTCTTTGGGTCAGGTCACGATCCCAGGGTCCTGGAATTGAGCCCCATGTCAGGCTCTCTACTCAGTGGGGAGCCTGCTTCTCCCTTTCCCTCTGCTTGTTGCACCCCTGCCTGTGCTCTATCAAATAAATAAATAAAATATTTTTTTAAAAAGTGATTATGAGAGTAAATACTATTTTTAAAAGATACATGTCTAAGATACATTAATTTTATTTTATAAAAGATATAAAATGTGTACTTCATATAATTCCAATTTTTACTTTTTCCTCTACTTATCTTTGCAACTACTAATGTTAAGTTTTAGTTTTTTCTATTTCTATTTTCTTAATGTCCCATATTGTGCATATATTTTCTCTTATAATCAAAAAAATTATAACTTATTATTTAAAAAAAAAGAATACTCAATCTTAAGAAACAAAGAATACTCTCAGGTTCAGAAATTATATAGAAGTGAGTCAGTGAGAAAATCCTATCAAACTATTAAAATGTTATTAAAATTATTAAGATAATACTACCAAAATCCATCTCTAGACTCAATATAAGCCCCATCAAGTTTCCAATGGCATTTTCTACAGAAGTAGAACAATCCTAAAAATTTCACGGACCCTCAAAAGACCCTAAATATCCAAAGCAATTCTAAGAAAGAACAAAGCCAGAGGTATCATATTTCCTTTTTTTTTTAAAGATTTTATTTATTTATTTATTCATGAGAGAGAGAGAGGCAGGCAGAGACATAGGCAGAGGGAGAAGCAGGCTCCACGCAGGGAGCCCAATGTGGGACTCGATCCAGGGACCATGGGATCACGCCCTGAGGCAGATGCTCAACCGCTGAGATGCCCAGGTGTCCCGAGGTATCATATTTCCTGATTTAAAGTTATACTGTAAAGCTATAGTAATCAAAACAGAATGGTACTGGCATAAAAGCAGGCCAATGGAACAGAATAAGCCCAAGAAATAAACCCAAGTATATATGGTCAACTAATACTTGACAAAGGCGCCAAGACTACTCAATGGAGAAATGACAATCTGATAAATAGTGCTGGGAAAATTCAATATTCACATATAAAAGAATGATACTAGCTCCCTATCCTTTTTTTTATTGGAGTTCAATTTGCCAACATATAGCATAACACCCAGTGCTCATCCCACCAAGTGCCCCTCTCAGTGCCCATCACCCAGTCACCCTAACCTCCCGCCCACTTCCCCTTTCACTAACCCTGTTCATTTCCCAGAGTTAGGTGTCTCTCATGTTTTGTCACCCTCACTGATATTTTCACTCCTTTCCCTTTATTCCCTTTCACTAATTTTTATATTCCCCAAATGAATGAGACCATATAATGTTTGTCCTTTTCTGATGGACTTATTTCACTCACTAGCTTCCTATCTTAAACCATTCACAAGATGTACCTTGCAATAGATTAAAGACTTACATATACCTGAAACCATGAAACTCCTAAAAGAAAATACCACAAAAGAGCTCCTTCACATAGGTCTTAGCAATGATTTTTTTGATATGACACCTAAAGCAAAAGCAATGAAATAAAACATAAACAAGACTATATCAAACCAAAAAACTTATGCACAGCAAAAGAAACAATCTACAAAATGAAAAAGAAAACATATGGAATGGGAAAAATATTTGCAGACCATATATTTGATAAAGGGTTAATATCCAAAATATATTAAAAACACATACAACTCAATAGCAATCCTCCCCAATAGTCCAAATAAAAAATAGGCAAAGAATCTGAATAGATATTTTTCCAAATAAGATACATGAAAGGCCAAGAGGTTCATCAAAAGATGCTCAATCTCATTAAGTCATTAGGGAAATACAAATCAAAACCACAATGAGCTATCATCACACACATCTCACATAATGACCATCAGAAAGACAAGAGATAACAAATGCTAGTGTCAAAGTGGAGAAAAGGGATTCTTGTGCACTATTGGTGGGACTGTCAATTGCCACAGCCACTAGGGAAAACAGTATGGAGGATCCACAAAAAATTAAAAGTAGAACTACCACTTGATCCAGCAATTTCACTTCTGGGAATATATCCAATGGAAATGAAAAGACTAACTCAAAAAGATATCTGCACCACCATGTGCACAGCAGCATTATTTATAATAGCCAAGACATGGAAACAATCTTAAGTGTCCATGGATGAGTGAACGGATAAAGTTATTGTGTGTGTATGTGTGTGTGTGTGTGTGTGTGTGTGTGTATAAAATGGAATAAAAAGTAATTTTGCCAAGTGTGACAACACAGACAAACATTGAGGGCATTATGCTGAGTAAGTCAGACAAAGACAAGTACTATAAGATCTCACTTATATGTGGATCTAAAAGCAAACACAATAAACTCATAGAAAAAGATCAGATTTGTGGTTACCTGAGGGAGCCATGGGAAGGTAGGAGGAGAGGGAATTGGAGGAAAGTGGTCAAAAGGTACAAACTTCTTTTTTTTTTAATTTTTTTTTTTTTAATTTATGATAGTCACACAGAGAGAGAGAGAGAGGCAGAGACACAGGCAGAGGGAGAAGCAGGCTCCATGCACCGGGAGCCCGATGTGGGATTCGATCCCGGGTCTCCAGGATCGTGCCCTGGGCCAAAGGCAGGCACTAAACCGCTGCGCCACTCAGGGATCCCAAAAGGTACAAACTTCTAATTATAAAACAGGTAAGTACTGGAGGTGAAATGTACAACATGACGACTATAGTTACCATCACTGTATGAAATATATGGAAGTTGTTAAGAGAATAAATCCTAAGACTTTCCATTATAACTTTAAAAAGCCTTTTTTTTTTAAAGTAAGAGAGAGAGAACACATGAGTGGGGGAGGGGCAGAGGGAGAGGGATAGACTCCCTGCTGAGTGGGGAGCACAACGCCAGTCGGATCCCCTACCCTGAGATCATGACATCAGCTGAAGTCAGACACTCAACCAACTGTGCACCCAGGCACCCCAGCTTTTTTCTCTTTATGTCAGTTCTTTTTATTAAATCTGTATGAGATGATGGATAACTAAGTTTATTGTGATAATCATTTCACAATATATGTAAATCAAACCTTTATGCTGTACACCTGAAACTCATTCAGTGATGTATGTCAACTATATCTCAATAAAATCTCTGGACAAAAAACTTTCCCCCTTCTGACCACAGACATGCCAACAAATAACTATTTGATCATGTGTAGCAGTAAAATTAAAGTAATAGAACATGAAACCCAACCTGTAGTGACAGTCGGCTCGAACACAGAGTTTCCACTCTCGCTGGAAAACCCACCACTCTTCTTTCCATTCTTCAAAGACTTTCCGTAGTATTCTTTGCTCATAGTAAAACCTTTGGCAAAGAACAAAATTCAGAGAGATCCATGATGATGTGGGAACGGATATTTATTCCCCAATTAGTTTCATATTGCCAATACTTTTCTCATAGAAAAGTGTGGCTCATTCTCTGACAACACCAGAATAAAAGAAGTTATTTTCCAGATCAAAATCTTAGAACTACTTAAACTAGAAACAAAGCTAAAAAATGTTATACTACAGATTTCTACCAATTAAAGAGGTTAAAGTAGAATAAAAATCTGACTTTTCAAATACCATAAATGAGTTGAAAATTATTCTCAAGGTTTATTTTCCTTCGTCAGACTAAAACATTTTTGATTAGTAAAAAGCGGTAGTAGCTATACTTCACATTTACATATACAGGAGATTAAAAGTTATAAGCAAATACCTAATGGTATTCTTAGTACTTACAGGAACAAAGTATAGCAGTTTAACTGAAATCTGGCCAGAGAAGTTATGAAAACAGCAAAATATAGGTAGAAGAAATAGAGAGGAGGCCAAAGGCAATAAGAAAGAGAAAAAGAGAGCAATGGCAGATTGTGTGGATGCTAACAGGTGCTATCAAGGTGACAGATAATTTGAACTCTGTTGCCTGCCCATCACTTTGAATTTCTTTTCATGGTTCTGCAGGTTACTAACATGTCCTTCCTCCTTACCACTCATGGTAAGGAGACTACCTAGCAAAAATATACATAGGGAAATTCACTTCACTATTGTTCATAATAAAGAGAGAGAGAGAGAGAGAGAGAGAGAGAGAAAATTACAACAAATGTCCCTCAACGGGAGATAGGTTAAATTCAATCAATGTTGCGAGTCATTTTTAATGAAGTAGACCTAAGGATACTGAAATGGAGAGATGTTCAAGAGAAGTTGTTAGGTGAAAACATAAAGCTACCTCATCGTATGTATGACACCATTTTTTAAAATTAATTCTTTTTGTATTTCCAGGACCCATATGTTGGAATCAATATAATACATACCAAATTTTAAAAAATACATACCAAATTAACATATATTTATATATAATATATACATACATATTTGTATACATAGATAAAAAACATATATATGGATATATGCATGCCCTGTGTGTACATCTACAAATCATCATATTATACATATTGTCTGAAAAGGTTTCTAGTATACCAAACTATTACCAGTGGTTATCATTCAGGGAGAGATTGTAGGAGACTGGTGTTTCCTATTACACGTATCTATAGTTTGAAAATTTTTTAAACAACTTTGTTCACGATTTTTAAATTTTTTTTTTTTTACGATTTTTAAAATTTTAATGGAAAAGAATCACTTCCATTCACACAGGTACTTCCTTCTACCATCTACCACTATCCATTTACCTCCTTCTCTTCCCCAACCCCATTAAAATAACATCTATATTACATTTTTTAAAGATTTTATTTATTTATTCATGAGACACACACAGAGAGAGGCAGAGACACAGGCAGAGGGAGTGGCAGGCTCCATCCAGGGAGCCCAATGTGGGACTCGATCCCGGGTCTCCAGGATCACACCCTGGGCTGAAGGTGGCGCTAAACTGCTGGGCCACCAGGGCTGCCCAACATCTATTATTTCAAAAGGTTTAAGCCCACAAAGACAGAATAGGAGCAATGACAATAGACAAGAGATACCAACAAATTTTAGGTGACAGAGAACAGACAGGCAAGTGGCGTCTGAATCAGCGTATCAGAGAAAGCAGAGGAACAGCTAAGTGTCCTGTGCTTAGGGAATCAAGGAACAATCAGCTGGTGTCACAGACCCCAGAAAGGCAGAGAACAGGAGGCATAAGGAATGAGGGAGCCCTGGGTGGAGATAAAAGCACAGGATTGTTTGCAAGCTTAGGCATAAATGGTTAGGCCCCTAGGTACTGTTATTCACCCAAGCAGAGACTCCGGCGTCTCTCTGGAGAGGCTGAACAGAGAGGCACTGGATGGACTGCAGAAAACCAGGAAGAGCTCTGGAGAAGGTCTTAAGCAGAGTCCACATATTCTATGAGGCCGACATTCCCTCTCCTGTGCCTACAACCAAGCTTAGGGCACCATTACCCACCTCCAAGGGGCCAAACTTGCAATGAATGAATGAATAAATTTTATTTTATTATCTCGTGATTTTATTTATTCATTCACAAGAGACACAGAGAGAGAGGCAAACACATAGGCAGAGGGATGAGAAGCAGGCGCTTCACTGGGAGCATGATATAGGACTCGATCCCTGGACCTCGGGATCATGACCTGAGCTGAAGGCAGTCACTCAACCGCTGAACCAACCCAGGCATCCCTGGGATGCTATTTTTTAAATAAAGGAATATGCAGAGAACAAAAAGGATGTGTTGGATATTTAAAATAGGACAGAAGAAATAAAAAAAAAAAGATTCATAGATAGGTAAAAACAAAAAGGCAAGCACTATGGCTTTTATGCAATCTCAGCCAGAAGGGAAGCTACCTGCCATCTGAGCAGAGGAGTGACATGACTTGATCTACTCCAAATACCTGTCGGGAATAGACTGAGGCAGAAGACTGTAAGGTTGCTAGGGTCATTTAGGGGAGACATGATGATGAGTTGGACCAGGGTGTTAGTAACTGGAAGTACTGAAGAGAGGTGAAGTCTGAATACATTTTGAAAGCTCAGTCAGCACAATTTTGGTATTTGACATTGTAAATTGGGATGTGAGAGAAAAAGAAATGTCAAAGGGGACTCCCATGTTTCTGACTCGAGTTCCTGGAAATATTGGAGTTCCCTTTCACTGGGAGGGAGAAAGCTTGGTAGAGAGGTTTGTGGGGATGATTTTGATTTTGGCTTTGAACACATTAAGTTGTGACATCTATGAGACACACAGTGGAGTTGTCACATATGTAGCAGTCTGGACAAGGGAGAGGTCTGGGCAGGGTGTATATATTTGGGAATCATTCTGAGAGTTGATGAGATCATCACAGTTGTGAGGTACACAGAAGCAATGCAAAGATGAAGCGCAGGATATTTAGAGGAGGAGGAATCGACAAAAGAGAGAAGGAGCAAAGAGGTAGAAGGCAAGCCCTGGGAGGATGGTGTCACCTGGAAGCTGGAAGAAGAGAGGGCTTATGGGAGAAGGGAATAACGACTGTCTCGTGCTTCCTGGTAGACCTAGTAAGAAGTTGTTTCCAAATTTATCACTGGTTTGGACAAATGTAGTGACCTTAACAAAAACAATTTGGTGGAGGGGTAGAATCTAAAGTCTAGTGGGATGGATTTAAGAGAGACTATAAGACGTGTTGGAGACACAGAATATTGTCAGGGGAGTTGATATAAAGGGGGAGCAAAGAGATGGATGCTAGCTGCAGGAAGACATAAGGTTGAAGAGATTTTTTTAAATTTCAGGATAAGAGAAATAAGGGTATCATATGCTGGTGCAAACAATCCAGTAAAGAGTGAAAAACTGATGCAGAAAAGAGAAAAAAAAATTGCTAGGGTAATGGCCTTGAGGAGTCATGAAGGAAACACGGTACAAGAGCCGAAGATTTTGCCACAGATGAGAGCAAGGACAGTTCACCTGCCTCATGGTGGAAAAGCAGGTTGCATGGTGATAGATGTTGGCAGTGGGTGGATGTGATGGAGGGAACTCATGCGGGTCTCTTCTGTTGTTTCTATCAAGAAAATAGGAAGCAAGGCCATTAGCTGAGGAAGAAATCTTGACGAATTAAATACTGTAAATGGACATGACTGTTTTACCTACTTCCCAAGTTAACAAAAAAATTTTGTTCAGATCTCTTCAGGAAAATAAGTAACTATCTCATATTTAAGACTATCTTATATATGGACATATACTGCATTATTTTTGCCCTACTAGTTTGATAGTCATTTTGGTTCAGTTTATTAATGACAAAACAATGGCAGTTTATAAAAGTTAAAACAATCTCTCAGAACATAAAGGCATTATTCTGCATTCTCTGGTATGATATAATTCTCCTCTAATATTCCAAAAAGTGAGTAGTAAATAACATGAAAAATACCAAAACAAAAAAGCAAACATCAATATGTCCAATTTTCCCCAAAGTAACAAACAACCCACTTGATTTAAAAAGAGATTACAACATAAAACAACAAAAAAACGCTCCATCCTAAATTTCTAAGTCAACACAGTATCAAAATTCTAATTCTGGTAGATGCCTAGAGAAAAAGCAATATATTTACTCTCTCATTTTACAATTTGAGACACTAAGGCCCAGAGCCATAATTATCCTCAGATCAAACAATTAGCTAGGGTCTGAACTAGGGCCAAAACTCAGGTCTCCCAAATTCCAATGTAGTATTCTTTCCTCCAGACCCTGCTGCCACTGAAGAGCAAATAAAGTAAAGAGTATAAAGCGGTTATTTTAAAGCAGACATCAGTCACTGGCTAACCCAACACCCACTGTGAAGCCTCTGCCTCCTCACAGGTATTCCCTGCAGAGGATAGAAAGGTTTCTTTCCCAGACTGCTCTGTAGCAGAAGGTAGCCAGTGACACAGCTCTGGACAATGAGGCAGAAGCAGAATGCAGCTGATTGCTTCCAGAAAAGTGTTTTTCTGAGTAAGAAAGATCTGACACCATCCTTCCTTACTCCTTCCTGTGTAAAACAGAATAGTCATTTTGTAACTATGCCGCGTCATGTCTGAGGACCAAGGGCCAATATGTTAAACTGATGAACTAAGAAATGTAATAAAATTGAGTCTTTGATGGCCTCACTGAGCAGCTAAACACCAACCTCCAGACTGCTTATGAGAAAAAGCAAATCCCAATTTGTTAAAGCCACTGTCAGGCTTTCTCTTAGGTCAAATGCATTTCTAACTAATATAATCAGCATTTTCCAGCTACTCAGAATATAAATGAGTATTACTTAAACAGACATTTCTAGTTAAATATGGGTCAAGTATTAAGTAAAATTAAGTAGGAAAAGAATTTGGGGAAGAGAGTAGAGGGAACAACATAGTTTTTCTAGTCTCTGAATCCCCATAAAATACAGCAAACAGGAAGCAAAATAACAAATTCATGTATCAATCACAACAAAACCAGGTGACAAGGTATCCCCAGAATCCAAAATGCAAGCAGGCCAGGACAAACCATTCATAGTCAAAAGACCTACAAGGTATTACATTTCTACAGGAGGAAGGAAGAGCAATGAGAGTGGCATCTAACACTACCTCAAATGAGAATGAGAAAACCTCGAAACAGTCATTGCAAAGTGCAAGAGGCCCCATCTGAGACTAGCTGCTGAACCTGAGAGGAGCTTTCTCCTCTCTGTTACCAAGGCTCATATGAACATAACTGAAACAGTTGGAGCATTCCAGCCCCTGTAGTCCCAGAACCAACATACATGCCAGGCTCCCTTTTAGGACAGAGCTTCATAAATGAGGAAAAACTGCTGGAAGTAGAATAGAAATTGAGCAGGAGAGGGACAAAAGAGACAAGAATAGAGGATCAGACCAAATGTTTTAGGGAAACAGAACCAGATATTCCATAGAGCAAGCTGCCATATTTTTTTAACCCTACAAATGAAACTGAAATGGGAATCTGTGAAATAGGAAAGTTAACTGATCTTGACTCACTTTAAAAAGTTCAGAAAGATCAATTCCACATAAAAATGAGCAACAAAGAATTTGAGGTCATATCCTTTACAAAGTTATTGTATGAGAAAGGAAAGGGAGAATAACATGCCTATGGACAAAGAAAGTAAGCCAGAAAGATGTATTCACAAAACAAAGCAAAAAATACAAAACTCTGTAACCTATTATCTCAGAATGAGCTAAAAGACTCTAAGAAAATAAGTCAACACTTAGGCATATCATATTAAAACTCTGAAAAATAAGATAATGAATCTTCAAAACAGCAATAATTAGACTAACAACTTAGAAATGGAAGCCATAAGACAATGAAATATCTTCAAAATATTTGGGGTAAAAACTGGCAACCCAGTTTTCTCTATACAGGGAAATATCTTTCAAAAATGAAAGTGAAATAAAACATTTTTAAACAAAATATAAGAGAATTTATCACAAGCAAATCTATTTTAAAGCAAACGATCAGGGATGTCCCAATGACAGAAGGAAAATAATCACAGATGGAAACCTGGAAATGCAAGGAGAAAAAGGAGAGGAAGGGTAAATATGTGAATAAGTCTAAATGAATGTTAACTATATAAAACAAGAATAATGTTTTGCAAATTTTATTTTATATATATTTTTAGATTTATTTATCTAAGAGTGCACGTGCATATGAGCAGGGGGAGGGGCAGATGGAGAGGGAGAGAATCTCCAGCAGACTCCCCACTGAGCATGGAACCTGACTTGGGGCTCAATCCCACAACTCTGAGATCATGAGGTGAGCCAAAATCAAGAGTTGGATGCTCAACCAACTAAGCCATCTGGGTGCCCTGCTGATTTTAAAATATAAACTGAATTAAATACCTTACAATAAGGGCATATAAGGGAGGATGGGGACAGAATTAAAGTGTTCTAAGGACCTTGCCTTCTTTGGGAAGAGGGCAAAAGGGCCAATTAATATTAGACTGATAAATTAAAGATACATATATATATATAATATTCTTTAGGGTATATGTTAAAATACATATCTTTCAGTAAAAAGAACAGGAGTATAAAACTTCTAAGCTAACACGGGGGGGGGGGCAGTGATAAATAAAAGACTCAACTGAATGAAAAAAAACTCCAACTTTATTTAAAGGCACTGAAAAGCTGCCAAGAAAGTGAAAAAGGACAGGGCCAAGGCCCAGGAGAAGGAGGAGAAGCAGAGGTGAACTATGACTAACATCTGCAGCTGGGATGGATTGCTATCACACTGGGAGCCTCTCTTATAAAGACACACAAAGGAGATGGGAACAGCATGGCCCCCCACGTGGTATATTCAGAGAAAAGATTTCAGAGGACACCCACAGGCCAAATTTGCTTAAATGACTTTGAATGAAAAGATTTGGATGATGTTCCAGATTAGGAAAGCCACGATGTCAGAAAAGTGAAACAAGAAAGGTTGTAATAAGGGAAGAGTAGAGGGGTTAAGAACCCACAACACTGCCATTTAGAAAAAAAAAAAAAAGCTTACATTTCAATAGCTGTCAATTCCTCCTCTAAAATAAACCCTATCATTCCTTTAAAATAGACCCCTTCCCTCCAACCCCACTACCTCATGCATGTGTCCCTGAGCCTGCTGGCTCCCCTTGCAATATACTCTCTATGCTGCAGCTGAAGCACTTTTAGCCAAACTCCGCAGCAAGGGGCAGTGGCCCAAACACAGTGAAGCTGTGGCCCAGGGACATTCTCTCAACTACAATTTCATGCCCCTTGCCAGCGCCAACTTTCCCCCCAGGTTCTGCCCTAGATCAAATCAATGTGACAAGTCTCAACAGTGCCCTGAAAGAGATTATTTACTTTTGGGCAAATACTTTTTTTCAGAGATGGTCTTAGCTATCCTGGTTTACTTATGATTCCTTCATACATTCATTCGGTCAAACTAACGTGTGTTAGTACCATTATATCATATGCCTGCTGGAGGCTGGGTAGGAGGAGAAGGTTACACGTGGGCTTAATACAAAACAAAAACCTTGGGATCCCTGGGTGGCGCAGCGGTTTAGCGCCTGTCTTTGGCCCGGGGCGCGATCCTGGAGATCCAGGATCGAATCCCACGTCGGGCTCCCGGTGCATGGAGCCTGCTTCCCCCTCTGCCTGTGTCTCTGCCTCTCTCTCTCTCTCTCTGTGTGACTATCATAAATAATTAAAAACAAAAACCTAGAATGAACTCAGAAAAGTTTGGTGGTGTGAGCTAATACTACCTGGCTTTAGAGGGAAATACTCTTCCAAAAGTCATTCGAATCCACAAATGTAAGAACTTTCTGGCCACGCATCTGAAAGAAGGGAAGAAAGGATATATACACATTTTATAACTCCATCTGAGTTGGTCAACAATTTTCTGAACAGTATAGGGAAACTAAGGTCCCAGGGCGAGAGATGCTAGCATGAGTCAAAAGGTGAATTATAGCTAATTTTGCATCAAATAGAGCATAAGATGGGACAGATTTATAAAGCCAAGATCAAGCAGATGATTTTTATTATTTTTAAAGTAATCTCTATTCCCATTGTGGGGCTCCAACTCACAACCTCGAGATAAGAGTCACATGCTTTACTGACTGAGCCAGCCAGGTACCAGGTACCCCCAAGTTGATTATTTTTGAAAAATACTTTCAATATAAAGTCTTTTGTCAGTGAAGACTTCAGAGTTGAGGGAAAGGAAGTACATGATAATGCTTTTATTCACATTATTCTTACTGCCTAAAACACCTAGCAAATGCCCACTTACCCATCCATCAAGGCTCATCTTTAATGCCTGCTCCCATGTGAAGCCTTCTTGGACCTTCCCCAACCCAAACACAGTGAGTAGCTTTGTATCCTCAACACTCTTACTGTAATATAATGTTATGACACCAAGCCTCAGCAATAGGCTCACAGGGGACCCGTTGTTCACTCTGTACTGTGAGCCCCTGAGAACGGGGACCATGTCTTATAGTATCCTAAGTACCCAGCACAGTGCCTGGTACACACACAAAAAAGGTGGCTTGTCCTGGCCAGTTCAAGGTGTGTCTTTTCCAGGTTCAGCTTGGAACATTCTTCTTCCTCATGCCCTTTATCTGGCTTATTCTTACATTATCCTTTAAGACTCAACTTAAACCCCACTTCCTCCAGAAGTTCCTCTGACCACACTAATGAGGCTGTTCTAGCTATGTGAGCCTGCAGTACGACATCCTCTTGTCTTAAAGCATTTATCATGCTTTCTTGGTATGACTTAACAGTCTGTCAAGCCAACATGATTTTAAGTTTTCATGAGGTCATGGACGAAGAATGTCTTATTCACCTTGTATGCTCAAGCACTGAGCACACCACCTGACCAAGTAAGCACTTGATAATTTTTTGTGTAGTTTTATGGTTTTATTAACACAAAATGATATGCACATAAGCTGACTATTCATTTTCTTTGCTGCACAGTCTGGCATTAGGACTGGTGACTCTGATGGCCTACCGGGCTGCTCTTTCCACATGGCTTTGCAGTTCTTAGAGGAGATATTGTGAGCAATCTCTGCATAGTGGATTTGTTGTACATCTGCAGGACTTCAAGCCCCTTGACCCTGTGGACTAGGAACTTCCGGAAACCTCTGGGCAGCATGTGTTTTTTCTTCTTGTTGCTCCCGTAACCTATGTTGGGTATCAAGATCTGGCCCTTGAGGGGCGTCTGGGTGGCTCAGTCAGTTAAGCATCTACCTTCGGTTCAGGTCATGATCCTGGGGTCCTGGGATCAAGCCCCACATCAGGATCCCTGCTCAGTGGGGAGCCTGCTTCTTATCCTTCTGCTGCTGCCCCTGCTTGTACCCTCTCTCTCATTCTCTCTCAAATAAATAAAATCTTTTGAAGAAAAAAAAAAAGATCTGGCTCTTGAATCTTATGCACACCCTACTGTCAATGCGTCTGGATTTCTGCCAGTTGTGCTTAATTTTGACACACCGGTCTTACTGGTGGCAGATAAATTTCTTGGTCCTCTTTGTAATGATCTTGGGCTTCACCAGAGGTCAGAGGCAGGCTATGATGACAACCAAGTATGGTATGGTTACCACCTCCACAGGAGGCTCTAAGGAAGAGAAGGCCTGATACATTTTTGTTGAATGAATAAATAAATGCCTTTGATGGACCTAATCAAGAGTATTGGGAAATGATAATTTTTCTCGAATTATGTTTGGACTTTTTCTGGAAGACTCTTTATAGCTTATACATGTGAGCACAACTAAAGAATGTAAATGAAAATCGAATGATAGTTTTTAAGTCTGCAGATTCCTAAATCTTTTCTTCTGAACATTCTGCCATCAAAGTCTCTGACTAATTGACAAAGGACAATAAGAATCATCCCCTCATTTTAACCAAGAAGGAAGAACAATGGAAAAGCCACTGCAGGCAGATGACAACTTATAAGCTCACCTGATACGCAATTCTCGTAACCGGTTCTTTCGGGTCCAACCATGCGAGGCATGACACTGCACTGGATGACTGGCACTAGGTATCTCACTCCGGATCCCCAAGAGGGTAGAAGACTTCTGGTTGGCCGATATCTTTGGAGGATAAGGTTTCTTAACTGCACCACTCCTAAAAGACCTTAAATTTGAAGAGCAATTGGGAAAGGGAGAGAATCAAATTATCTCTGCATTAAAATATCTTTTAACACGGGTGAAATTAAACAAATAAGGACGCCTGGGTGGCTCAGCAGTTTAGTGCCTCCTTCGGCCCAGGGCCTGATCCTGGAGACCCAGGATCGAGTCCCACATCAGGCTCCCTGTATGGGGCCTGCTTCTCCCTCTGCCTGTGTCTCTGCCTCTCTCTCTCTCTGTGTATGTGTCTCTCATGAATAAATAAATACAATCTTAAAAAAAATAAGCTCAAGGACTCAGACTAATAATAACTATGCTTCAAAAAAAAAAAAAAACTATGCTTCAAGGACAATAAGCAGCTCAATCTCTGATAGAAATACCTGCCATTCACAATGGTGTGTCAACCATACCCAAAACTACTCTCCCCCAGTGATGATTAGATAGGACTCAAAGGACTCAGCATATACTCGTACTCGCAGCTAAGATTTATTATAGCAAGAGGACCCAAACCAAAATCCGTAAAGAGAAAAGGGGCATGGGGCAAAGGCTGCTGGAAATTAGGTGCATATTTCCAAGAGTCCTCTCCCAGGGGAGTCACATAGGGTATCCTTAATTCTCCCAGCATTGAATTATGTGAACACATGTGAAGTGTTGTCTATCAGGGAAACTTATTAGAGATTCAGGGGGGCAAAGTTCTCCCTGGGAGCTGGTCCTACAGGCATCCTCTGCCTATCACACACCAAAATTTTAGATTCCTAGAATGAAGCAGGTGCTCAGTATAAACCACATTGTTTGTACAAACAGCTCAGGCACAGTTAATTACTCTTATGAGGCAGGGAATGATGAGAACCTTCCCGAAGTTTAAGTTTCTAGACACCAGTCAAGAGCCAACTTTGCAAGCAGGACTTTCTAAGGAAAACAGTCTCAGGCCTGCAATGTTAATTCTTTTTTGCATGAATGGAAAACAAACATAATGGAGAAGATAAAAAAAGGAAAGTTAGTTCTTTAAAAACAGATAAAATTAACAATGAAACTGATCAAGGAGAGCGAGAAAAGGCCAAAAACCAGTATTAGGGGGGAAAAGGGAAACACATCATTAGAGATCCTAAGAAGATGCTGTAAACAACATGATAAAAATAAATTTGAAGATACAAGTAAAATGGATAAACAGCTAGAAAAGCAAACTTATCAAAACTACACAAGTATAAAATGTGAACAGTCCAATAACCATTAGCAAAAATAAACAGTAATAAAAACCTTCCTGCAACAAAATCTCCAGGCCTAGATGGTCTTGCTGTCAAGATCTATCAAAGTGCAAGGAAAAATTCATGCCAATCTCACATAAACTAGTTTAAGAATTATTTTTTATGGGATCCCTGGGTGGCTCAGCGGTTTAGCGCCTGCCTTTGGCCCGGAGTGCGATCCTGGAGTCCCGGGATCGAGTCCTACGTTGTGCTCCCGGTATGGAACCTGCTTCTCCCTCTGCCTGTGTCTCTGCCTCTCTCTCTCTATGTCTATCATGAATAAATAAATAAAATCTTTTAAAATTTTATTTTTAAATTATATTATTGGAGAAAGAGAGAAAGAGAACAGGGGAGGGGCAGAGGGACAAGGAGAGACTCCCAAGCAGGCTCCATGTACAGAACGGAGCCTGACAGGAGACTTGATCTCACAACCCTGAGATCATGAGTTGAGCCAAAATTAAGTCACTCAACCAACTAAACCACCCAGGCACCCCCTCAGAATTCTTTTTGAAAAAAAGAACACTACCCACCCCGAATCTAGATAAAACCAGGTAATTTGGGGAAACTGGCCATAACCTTATTTTTTTTTTAGATTTTATTCATTTATTCGTGAGAGACACATAGAGAGAGAGAGAGAGAGAGAGAGAGGGAGGCAGAGACACCGGCAGAGGGAGAAGCAGGTTCCATGCAGGAAGCCCAACGTGGGACTCGATCCCAGGTCTCCAGGATCCCCCTGGACTGAAGGTGGCACTAAACCGCTGAGCCACCCAGGCTGCCCTGGCCATAACCTTAGTACAAAACCTAACAAGGACATTTTAAGAAAGGAAAATTTACATCAATCTCACTAATGAATACATATATAAAAATCTAAACAAAATATCAGCTAACTCAAGTTAGCAACATAGAAAAAGGACAGTATGATAGAGGCTTACTTAATTCCAGGAAAAGGGAAGATTAACATTAGAAATATCAATCATTAAGAAAATCATATAATCATTTCAATAGATACAAAAAAAAAAGATTAAAAACTATTCAATACCCATTCATGACAAAAAGGTCTTGAACTAGAAAGAGAAACCTGATAAGGGATACCTAAGAAAAACTTATTCAGAGACCATACTTAAGGTTCTCCGTTTGAGATTTTTTTTTTTTTTAAGATTTATTTATTTGACAGAAAGAGAGTGTGCTCAAGTAGGGGAAGTGACAGAAAGAGAGTGTGCTCAAGTAGGGGAAGTGGCAGAGAAGAGGGAGAAGAGGGACTCCATCCCAGGACCCTGGGACCATGACCTGAGCCAAAGGCAGACACTTAACTGACTGAGCCACCCAGGTGCCCCCCTTTGAGATTATGAACAGGACGACTTCTATACAACATTGTACTGGAGATCCTGGCTGGCAGAGTAAAGCAAAAAAGAGAAATTAGGGGCACCGGGGTGGCTCAGTTGTTAAGTGCCTGCCTTCCGTTCAGGTCATAATCCCAGAGTCCCAGGATTTTGCCCCACATAGGGCTCCCTGCTCAGCAGGGAGTCTACTTTTCCCTCTGACCCTCCCCTCTCTTGTGTTATCTCTCTCTCTTGCACTCTCTCTCTCTCAAATAAATAAAAAAAATATTTTTAAAAAGAGAAACTATAGTCGTAAAGACTGGAGATGGGGGAATAAAGTGTCATTTTGCATATAATGTGATTATACATGTAGAAAACCCCAAAGACTTTACAGGTAAATTACTAAAATGTATGAGTTTTTAGCAAGACTATTTGATACAAAGACAATATCAAAAATATACATATAGTCAATTCTTGTTACTTCCAGTATTATAGTCTATGGTCACCTCAAATATTCTTTGTCATGGATTAGAAGAATCAATATTGTTTAAATATCCATACCACCCACTTCCAGTATTATAGTCTATGGTCACCTCAAATATTCTTTGTCATGGATTAGAAGAATCAATATTGTTTAAATATCCATACCACCCAGAGCCATCTACAGATTCAATGCAATCCTTATGAAAATCCCAGTCAGGGATCCCTGGGTGGCGCAGTGGTTTAGCGCCTGTCTTTGGCCCAGGGCGTGATCCTGGAGACCCGGGATCGAATCCCACATCGGGCTCCCGGTGCATGGAGCCTGCTTCTCCCTCTGCCTGTGTCTCTGCCTCTCTCTCTCTCTCTCTCTCTCTCTCTCTCTCTCTCTCTGTGACTATCATAAATAAAAAAAAAATTAAAAAAAAGAAAATCCCAGTCATATTTTTCACAGAAACAGAATAATCCTAAAATATGTATTGAACCAAGACCCTGAAGAGCCAAAGCAATCTTTAAAAAAAAAAAAAAAAAGATTTATTCATGAGAGACACAGAGAGGCAGAGACACAGGCAGAGAGAGAGAAGCAGGCTCCTCACAGGGAGCCCTATGTGGGACACCATCCCAGATCCCAGGATCACGCCCTGAGCGTGAAGGCAGACGCTCAACCGCTAAGCCACCCAGGCAACCCAAGCCAAAGCAATCTTGAGAAAGAAGAACAAAGCTGCAGATACTATGTTCTGATTTAAAACTATATTACAAAGCTATAGTTATCAAAACCATATGGCATTAGTATAAAAACAGATACACAGATAAATGAAACAGAGAGTCCAGAAATAAACTCATGCTTATTGGGATCCCTGGGTGGCGCAGCGGTTTGGCGCCTGCCTTTGGCCCAGGGCGCGATCCTGGAGACCCGGGATCGAGTCCCACGTCGGGCTCCCGGTGCATGGAGCCTGCTTCTCCCTCTGCCTGTGTCTCTGCCTCTCTCTCTCTCTCTATCATAAATAAATAAAAATTAAAAAAAACCCTCATGCTTATTTAGTCAATTAATTTATGATAAAGAGGGGCACCTGGGTGGCTCAGTGGTTAAGCATCTGCCTTTGCCTCATCATGATCCCAGGGTCCTGGGATCAAGTCCTGCATCGGGCTCCCTACAGGGAGCCTGCTTCTCCCTCTGCCTATGTCTCCACCTCTCTGGGTCTCTCATCAAAAATCTTTTAAAAATTATGATAAAGAAACCACAGTGGGGAAAGGACAGTCTCTTCATAAATGATATTGAAAAAACCAGACAGCTACATGCAAAAGAATAAAACTAGACCACTATCTTACACCATACACAGATATTAACTCAAAAGGAATTAAAGACTTGAATGTAAGACCTGAAACCATAAAACCCCAGAAGAAAACAGATAGTAAGCTCCTTGACATTGGTCTCAGTGATGAATTTTTGGATTTGACATCAAAGGCAAAGGCAACAAAAGCACAAATCAACACATGGGACTACAACTAAAAAGCTTCCTGCACAGCAAGGGAAACTATTGACAAAATGAAAAAGCCATCTACTGAGTCAAAGAAAATATTTGCAAATCATATGTCTGATAAGGGGTTAACATCCAAACTACATAAAGAACTCCTACAACGTAATAGCAAAAAAAAAAAAAAAAAAAATCCAAACACTCCAATTTAAAAATGGGCAGAGAATCTGAATAGACATGTTTCCAAAGACATACAAATGGTAAACAGATACAGGAAAAAATGCCCAGGGAAACACACATTTAAACCACAAGGAGATACCACCTCACATCTGTGAGAATGGCTCTGTCAAAAACATAAGAAATAACAACTGTTGGCAAGGATGTGGAGAAAGAATCCTTGTACACTACTGATGGGAATGCAATCTGGTACAGCCGCCATGGAAAACAATATGGAGGTTCCTCAAAAAATTAAAAACAGACCTACCATATGATCCACAATTCCACTTTTGGGGATTTATCTGAAGGAAAAAAAAAAAAAAAACACTAACTCTAAAAGATATATACAACCCCCATGTACAGTGCAGCATTATTTACAATAGCTAAGATACAGAAACAAATTTTAGGACTCACCAAAATAGTTATTTCCTCCAATCTGACCTATAGCTTCAAAGTAATCCCAATTAAAACCCCAACAGTTTTTGTTTTGTAGGGAGGGAAAAAGGCCTGTCAAGTTGATTCTGAAGCTTATATAGAACTGCAAAGACCAAGAATAGCTTACAGTCATTTTTTTAAAAAAAGTACTTGATGAAGGGTGCCTGGCTGGATCAGTCAATAGAGCATGTGTGATTCTTGATCTCAGGGTCGTTAAGTTGAGCCCCATATTGGGTGTAGAGATTTCTTCAAAATAAAATCTTTTTTCTAAAGTGCTTAAAAGCACTAGGTAAAAAGCCCTACTTAGATCTCAGACTTCTTATAAAGCTATATAATCAAGACATCATGATTTTGTGGCAAGGACAATTCCAACCATAGGCACAAAGTAGAAAGCCCAGAAACAGACCTGAGCTTGAATGGACTTTTGATTAATGATAAACATGGCACTGCAGAGAAGTCTTTTCAATTGTGCTGGCACAACTGGATATCCACATGGGAGGCAAAAAAAAAAGTTAAACTCACATGACACACAAAGATCACTTTCAAATGGTCTGGAGAAAAAAACGTGAATGGTAAAATAATAAATACTGAAGGCAATACGGAATACCTTCATGACCCCAGGAAAGGAAAAGATCCCTTAAAACATGACAGATTAGATATATTTAAAAAGACTCATCATTTTTACTAAAGTTTAAAACACTATAATTCATTAAAAGATACCAGAATGAAAAAAGTGAGCTACAAAGACGGAAAAGATATTTGCAACACATAAAATATAGAAAGAATTTGTATTTTTTTTAAAGATTTTTAAATTTATTTATTCATGAGAGACACAAAGAGAAAGGCAGAGACGTAGGCAGAGGGAGCCCAATGTGGGATTCAATCCTAGGACTACGGATCACATCCTGAGCCAAAGGCAGATGCTCAATCTCTGAGCCACACAGGCGTTCCAAGAATTTATATTTGGAAATACAAAAATTTCTATATATCAAATGGGGGAAAGATTCAATATACAACTGAATAGAAAAGTGGGTTTAAGACTTGAATATGTACTTCAAAAAAGAAAATTCAGATGCCCCAAAACAGGTACTCAACAACAACAGAAATCATGAAATACAAATAAAAAGCACAGTGAGCTATGACCACAACCCTACCACAGAAGCACAGTATTGGGGAGATGTGGGGCAACAAGCACACCGGAACATGACCAGTCAGAGCACAAACTGGTACACCAATTTAGAAAACAATTACCTACAAAATTGAAGATTCTCTTCTATTCTGGCCCAGAAACCAATTCCCAATTATATATCCAAAATAATGCTTATCAGAGTGTGATCCCAGAACCAACAGCATCAGTTTAGAAGTTACTAGAAATACAAACCGTTGGGTCTGACCGAGATCTACTGAATCAGAAACTCTGATTGGTGGAGTCCAGCAATCTCATTCTGTTGCAGGCTCAAACTTGAGAGCCACTGCATGTCACTCTATGCATATGAGATGTTCATCACATTCAAAAACTGGAAACACCCAAATGTCCATCAACAATACTGCATATGCATAAACTGTGTAATATTCTTATATCATGGTATCATAGAGCCAGGAAAATGAGTGAACTACAACCACAGACAACATAAAGGAATCTTAAAACCTTAAGAGAAAGAATCAAGATACAAAAGAATACATGTAATATGATTCCATTTATATAAAGACAAAGGGGCAAAACTAAACTATATTGTTCTGAGATGTAAACATATAAAGAAATTTGAGAAAATGATTACTATTAAGGTAGGATGGTGGTTTAGGGAAGGAGCAGGAGTGATTAGGAAATAACATAAAAAGGGACTTCTGTGGTGTTGACAGTACACTATTCCTTTACCTTGTAATGGTTACATGTTTGTTTCAAAATGATATAGTAAACAGTACATTTTATGCATCTTTCTGAATCCATGTTCTTTTTTTTTTTTAATTTTTATTTATTTATGATAGTCACACAGAGAGAGAGAGAGAGAAAGGCAGAGACACAGGCAGAGGGAGAAGCAGGCTCCATGCACCGGGAGCCCGATGTGGGATTCGATCCCGGGTCTCCAGGATTGCGCCCTGGGCCAAAGGCAGGCGCCAAACCGCTGCGCCACCCAGGGATCCCCCTGAATCCATGTTCTATCTAATAGTTTAATGAACTGCAATTACCACCCCTTCTTCCCCAGTGCCCACACCGGCATCTCCACAACCTAAGAGATACTCAAGGAGGAGCACAAGGTGGCTGTACTCAGGGTGCCCTAGAGCTCAGCTCCTGTGGCTACCAGCATGATCAACATCTGCAGCAAGACTTCAGTCCCCAACCTGGTCCCTCTTTAACAAAATCTTCATGAACTTGTGTGGGGCTTCCCAGAATTCATCTATTCCATGAAGTCTAAGGACCAGAAAAGATGGTGGGTGATAGGATTTGGGCCCAAGACTGTGCCTCCATTGCCAAGGGCCTGAACATCTGGCCCCTGGTCTTGGGTCTCCTTCTGATCATTACATTTACTGTTATTTTTGCCACTGGATCACTGATAATTTTCTAAGCAATTTCAGAGGTCATAAAACATTATGGAAGCTATTAGCAGCTGCCCATGGCCTGAGGCTGTCACTCCTCTCACAGCATTTTATATACATATCAGTCTGCAATTGAATTCAATAAAGTACTTGTGTGGGGGGGGGGGGAAGGGGACAAAAAAAAAGAACTTCCAACTTCAGCAAAATCATCCTCATTCTTGCTCAGAATCGTAAGTTTAATATTTCCACACACTCAAAATGGTTTTGAACCATAACATAATGTATGAAATGTGCATTATATTCTGCACTCTAGATGAGAAACCCAAAATATCAACAAAAAAATCTTACCCAAAGTTCCTTTCTTACCACTCATGATTTAGGAAGAAACTTTTTTATTATTTATCATTTTTATACAAAAATGTTTACAGGTTTATATGAGCCACAATTTCAGCTTTTTTAAGATTTTATTTATTTATTCATGGAGACGCACAGAGAGAGGCAGACATAAGCAGAGGGAGAAACAGGCTCCCTCCAGGGAGCCTGATGCTGGACTCAATCCTGGGACCCCAGGATCATAACCTGAGCCAACGGGAGATGCTCAACCACTCGCCACCCAGGGCCCCCCTGTTTTTTTTTTTTTTTTTAATTTTAAGTCCTATCACTTACCTGGAGTCCACCTTCCTCTGCATTCTCAGCTTCCTTCTTTTTTGATGGAAATTAGGCCAGTGGCTTGATATATACTTCTTAGTAAGCAGATTCTTCATGAATCAAAAAGTTTTTTATCTTCCCCTTCTAAACCATAAGAAAAAGAGGGAAAAGGAGAGTAAATTATCTGAAGCCTTTTAGGAGTCACATTTCTCTTTTTTTTTTTTTTTTTAAGCATTTCATTTATTTATTTGACAGAGAGAGCACAAGCAGGGGAAGCAGCAGAGGGAGAGGGAGAAGCAGGCTTCCCAATGACGTAAGGTTCATCCCAGGGCCCTGGGATCATGACCTGAGCTGAAGGCAGACACTTAACTGACTGAGCCATCCAGGCACCCCAGGAGCCACATTTCTGAAAAGCTATATGCCACCTCCTAATCTCCTCTCCTTAATTCAACACTAGATGAGCATAGAAAGTCTATGAAATTTTTTAAACTGAATTTTTAAAAAGTTATTTTATAAGAAAGAAAACTGGGAGGAGAGAGAATGATACTCAAAAGGCTCTAATTGGCTCATTCTTCCTGTCCAGGTACTCTAGGGAAGGAGCGGGAAGTTTAAGACCTTAAACTTCCCTTCATAAGGGCACTAGTAGAGGCCAAGATTTTTTTTTGCCTAGATTAGTTTTTTTGGTTGTTAATGTTACCTAGAAGAATCTCCAGGCACTTTTGGTCAATAGTAAATTATATAGTTTCCATTTTCATTTGGTATAATTTCTACCCATAATATTCATTATGAACCAAAAAAGTAACATCGTTTTTATTTATTACTTAGTGCAAGGAGTAGCAATGTTGTGGGTTAGATTGTGTCCCCCTAAAAGATATGAAGTCCCAACCCCTGGTACCTATGAATTGACCTGATTTGGAAATAGTCTTTGCAGATGTAATTAAGATGAAGCCACACTGGAATAAGGTGGGCCCTTAATCCAATACAACGGGCATCTTTATAAAATGAGATGAGACAGAGGGATAGACACACACAGGAAGGACAATGCCATGTAAAGACAGACACATGATGACGAAAGTAGAAACTGGAATGATGTGTCCATAAGCCAAGGAACACCAAGGACTGCTGGCAATACCAGAAGAGAAATGCATGGAACAGACCCTCCTCTAAAGCCTTCAGGATGAGGATAGCCCTGCTGACATCTTGATGTCAGATTTCTAGCTTCCAGGACTAAAAGACAATACATTTCTGTTGTTTATAAGCCATGAAGTTTACACTATTTCATCAGAGCAGCCTTTGGAAACTAATTCAAGTAGTAAGAAAAAGAAGAAAGATTTAATTTTTTAAAATATTTTATTTATTTATTCATGTGGGACAGAGAGAGAGGCAGAGACACAGGGAGAGGAAGAAGCAGGCTCGATCCAGGGTCTCCAGGATCACACCCTGGGCTGAAGGCGGCGCTAAACCGCTGAGCCACCTGGGCTGCCCAAGAAGTAAGATTTAAGTACGTGGTGGAGGAAAGCTATTAAGGTTGACTTGTCCTATGTTGAGTAATTGTGAGGCATTCATAATAAAAATATTCATTCTAAAAAAATGAAACCACCCTTTATACTGAAGGTCACATATTTCAATGACAATCAGAGAAGGAATTCGCCAGAAAACACTTAATCCATACAAAACAAATAGTCCTTACAGAGATCAAACATTTTTCCTCCTTGTGTTTCTGGTATCACACTCCGAGAAATAAAGGTCTCCTTTAGTGACTATTTCTGTAAATTAAAATTAAAGGATAATTCAAGTAAGGATATTTGGTTAAACATTGCTATAATAAATGGGTCATTGCCTTGGGTTTATGTCTTGTTATAATGATTCTATGGAATACCTACAAAGTGGGATACCAATGAGAAGCAGGCCTACAGAATCTCAGAAGAGCTCAGAACTAGAAGAAACAAGGAATGGCTCCCAGAATTGTAGCTATAGGCCACAAAGGAGAGGACTGAATGAAGTCTATATGGTGAGCGGCTGGGGCCCCTGGTCTCCCTCACAACCCTGCCAGGCAGAATATACAGCTTCTCCACAAACTGCTTCCAGAATTCTGGCAATTAGATTGGTTATCTCCCAGTCAGGAGACAGGAAGAATCTTTGCAGAAGAAGCTAAGAACTAAAAGCTCTCAAGATTCTCACTTCTGTGCTCTACTTCCCTCAGTGAAAAAGCAGGCTTGCCCCCCCCCAAAAAAAGCTCCTAAACCTACAAGTTCTGCCCAGATACTGGAAACTTCTAACTAATTTCTCAGCTGCTGACGCTTAAGAATGAACAGACAATGAAGAATTATAAGACATTTGGACGTGACCTCCAACAAGAAAGAGACTAAAACAAACAAAGGAATCTGAGGAAGTGCCACGGTCTGTGACGTATTCCTGCCAAGAACTTGAGTCTAAATATCATTAAGCCTCATCTACAACTAAGAACCAACTTACAAAAAATACAGGGAACAAACGATTCTGCAATCAGCAAAATCAATGATGTACGAACTTCACGGGACTAACGACCCAGTTCCTTCAACAAATAAACTGAAGAAGAAAAGGGAAAACTTATATGTTAAAAGACACTTAAGATGTAGATCAATCAGGAATGCCTGGGTGGCTCAGTGGTTGAGCATCTGCCTTTGGCTCAGGGCCTGATCCCGGGGGCCTGGGATGGAGTCCCACATTGGGCTCCTTAAATGGAGCCTGCTTCTCCTTCCTCTGCCTGTGTCTCTCATGAATAAATAAATAAAATCTTAAAAAAAAAGATGTAGATCAATCAAATGCAATGTATGGACTTTGATTTTGGATCTTGATCAAACTACAAACCAACTGTCAAACAAAAAACATGAAACACAGGATGCCTAGGTGGCTCAGTTGGTTAGGCGTTAGACTCTTGATTTTAGCTCAGGTCTTGATCTAAGGGTTATAAGATCAAGCCCTGTGTTGGGCTCTGAGCTCAGCACGGAGTCTGCTTGAAATTCTCCCTTTCCCTCTGCCCCGCCCCAGGTTCATGTGCACACATGCACACACACACTCTCTAAAATAAATTTTTTTAAAAAATGAAGAAAGTCTCTCAAAACTGAAAGATGCAAATTCTCAGATGAGATGTCCTGCACGGGGCCAAATGTTAGAGATTAAATACTTTTTTCCCTCATGCAAGGAGAAAAAACTTAAGCTATCTTGTTCTTGAGAAGTTACCAGAAAGCTGGATGTTGTCAAATTAAAAACAATTGTTTCAAAGGACACCATCAAGAAAGTGAGGGATCCCTGGGTGGCGCAGCGGTTTAGCGCCTGCCTTTGGCCCAGGGCGCGATCCTGGAGCCTCGGGATCGAATCCCACGTCGGGTTCCCGGTGCATGGAGCCTGCTTCTCCCTCTGCTTGTGTCTCTGCCTGCCTCTCTGCCTGCCTCTCTCTCTCTCTCTCTCTCTCTCTCTCTCTCTCTCACTATCATAAATAAATAAAAAAAAAAAGAAAGTGAAAAGACAACTTACTGAATGGGAAAATTGTCACTGCTAAGTGACAAATCTAGATTATATTTTTAAAAATTCCTGCTACTCAATAAAAAGACAACCCAATTTAAAAATGGACAAAGGACATGAATAGACATTGCTCCCCCAAAATACATAAGTGGCCAATAAGCATATAAGATACTCAACATCATTACCCATCAGAGAAATGCAAATCAAATCCCAATGAGATAATAATTAGTATGGTTACAATAAAAAAGAAAGATTGGGGCACCTAGCTGGCTCAGAGGAGCATGTGACTCTTGATCTCCAGGTCATGAGTTCCAGTCCCATGCTAGATGTAGAGATTACTTCAATAAATACACTTAAAAAAAAAAAAAAAACGAAGATAGTAATGTGTTTGGGTGAGGATGTAGAGAAAGTGAAACCCTCATACACTATGGTGATAATGTAAAATGGTGCAGCCACTTTGGAAAACTGGCAATTCCTCAAAAAGGTAAATACAGAGTTACCATTTGATCCAGCAGATCCATTCCTAGGTACATAGATAAGAGAACCTAAAACAAGTGTCTATACAAAAACTTATATGTGTTCACAGCAACATTATTCATAACAGGCAAAAAAGTGAAAGCCCAAATGTCCACCAACACATCGATGGACAAGCAAAATATGCTATATCCATACAATGAAATATCATGCAACCATAAAACGAAATGCAGTACTAGTACATGTTAAAACATGGGTGCAGGGACGCCTGGGTGGCTCAGGGGTTGAGCACCTGCCTTTGGCTCAGTGACGTGATCCCACAGTCCCAGGATCAAGTCCCATGTCAGGCTTCCTGCAAGGAGCCTGCTTCTCCCTGTGCCTATGTCTCTGCCTCTCTTTCTCTCTGTGTGTCTCTCAAGAATAAATAAAATCTTTAAAATAAAACAAGGATGCATGCTGGCACATGCTATGTAAAAGAAGCCAATCACAAAGGACCATATATCATGATTCCACTTATATGAAATGTCCAGATCAGATAAATCTAGAGTCATGAAGTAAATTCCTGGCTGCCTAGGGCTGGAAGGATTGAAAAGAAAGGGGGGTGACTTCTAACAGTAATGATTTGTTTTCAGGGTGATGAAAATGTTCTAAAATTGATTATGATGATGGTTGTATAACTGAATATAGTAAAAACCATGGAACACTTTCATTTGGTGAACTGTATTCTATGTGAATTATATCACAATAAAGCTGTTAAATAAAAAGAGGAGGAGGAGGAAGTAAAAGCAGTAGTTATTAAAGGAAAATGTGTCCTAAAAACCAAGGAAGCAAATTAAGGGGAAAAAAAGGAACCCAGGCAACAGCTAATTCAATGTAAGAGAATAACAAAAAGAAGCAAATCCCAGAATAGATGTAAAAGAAGTTTCTGGATTAGAACTGAGTATAGCAGGTACAAAGTCACCAGATCAGATTAGAGCAGAGGAAGATTTCCAGGTAAAAGATGAAATGGCCAGTTTTGAGAGTAATTTTGCAAAAAAAAAAAAAAAAGAAAGAAAGAAAATTAGGCATGAGAAATGCTGACATATTCAGGACAAAGAATTTAATGATCTGTGCATGAGTACTAGGCAAATGAGAAAATAAGACAATTATTAATTTTGAGAAAATATAATGGGATGTACAAGAAAGATCAATTGCAGGACTTGGTATGGCTGTGAAATGTTATATGACACTTATCAATTTAACAATAAATTAACATAACTACTTTGGTGAGATGATAGAAGGAAAACTTCGAGCTAAGCACTTATCTTTCACGAATAACAGTCAACACTTTACGTGTAAAACTAAAAAAATTAGGAAATATCGCCCATAAGGATATTTATTTCCAATTTGTGTGTAAAATCAGGAGAAACAGCTAGCAGAATGGAAATTATAAATGGATGTGGGGCTGTTTTCTATCATAAGCCTTTAATACTGGTTTTTAAAGTCATGTATGTTAACTTGAAAAATTATAGAAGTTAACTTAAAGAAGTTTCTACAGTATTTTGCAGCTAACAATAACTGAAAGATCAACGATCTTCCTAAAGAAAAGCAAGGAAAGACTTAAATTTCTATCTTAAGCCCCAGAATAAGTTTCAACTACTTATTCCAGGAAGCCTCCCAATCTTCATACGTTCGTGGTACTTAGGCGGGTACCACGATATCTGTGTCAGGTATAGATAGAACTAAGCATTTTTCATTAATAACCTGCTTTTTAACAACCACCCAGACAGGTGGTAGCCATTTCATTTTACAGGCGAATTATCTGAGGCCACCAGCTAAGTAGGAGGGCTACGACTGGTACTCAGGTCCCTAACATCATTCGTTCTACAAATAAAAACGAAGCATTTATCTGCCACTGCTGGGGCGACTTCACCGTTTTTGCCCTGTTGGGGCCTCTGGGTTCAGATGGGACCCCTGAGGTGTGTGCACACTACCCCTCACCCCCCACCTGGCCACGCAGCAGGGACCCAGAATCTTCCGATTCGGACCCGAGCATGCTAAAGAGCCTTGCACCCACGCAGGCACCGAGCCCCGGCTGCAGCGCACCAGACGCGGGGTGAAGCGGCGCCCCTGGGGCCCGGGCGACCAGACGCCGAAGGGCAGCAGCATCGGTAGGGAGCACGCGAGCACCGCGCAGGGCGAGGAAGGCGGGCTCCCGAAGTCCTGCGCGCTCTCTCCACACCGCTTCCACTCCCAGATCACAGTCCGCGGGCAGGCGGCATCGCCTGCACTTCTAGAGAAGGAAGCGGAGGCTCCGAGAAGGGAGGCAGAGGGCCCAGCTCGGAGGGATGCGCGCTCGCCGCCGGACTCCAAACCCAGGAAGACGAGCCTCTCAGAGGCTGGTGACGATTCGGACCGGGCCTCATACCTGACAAGCCGAGCACTCGGGCCTCGCGCCTCAGGAAGTCCCTGCGGGAGCCGGCAGACGCGGCCCCGGTTCCTCCCGCCCTAAGGCCCCCGGCCGCCTCAGCGCTTCCCGCGCCTCCCTACACAGTCCCGCGCCGGCTCCGCCCCCCGTCTCCACGGCGACGCGGCGTGCGTGTGAAACGCCCCTCCAGGGACGGCAGTTCGCGCAGCCTCCGTCGAGTAGGCGACACGCCTCCCTCTGCTGAGGCAGCTGCAAAGCCAAGTTGCCCCCAAAGAGCGTAGATGGATGCACCGTCTGAGCGGCCTCAAGGTGGGCTCTCGGCCTCCCTGGCCCACTCGCTCCTCTCAGAGCTCAGCTTCCTACACCTACTCTTCGACAAGAGCAGGAGCTTTATAGAATAGTGTCTCCGAGCTACGCCTCGCGCGGCAAGGTCTAGGGATGAGGTTCCCGTCTGGAGGCCCACGCTGACGAACGTCCTCCTTCCCCCCACCTCCAGGCTCCCGCGTGAGCCTCTCTGGCTCTTGGTTCTCCGTGGTTCCCCAGCAAGTGAGCGCGGGGGGGTGGGGTCTAAGGAGTAGGGCGCGCGCATGCGTGTATCGGGGAGGTTGTCAATCGGGAGGGCGTGGGGAGGGGTCGTTCCGCTGACCCCGAACATATAAATTATCCCAGGCTGGGATCTTCTCTTAACCCTTCCTTTAAAAATGTAGTTAACAAGCACTAATTGCTAGCAAATGGTAGTTAAATTTTTTAAAACTCTGATCATCTTTTTAAAATAGGGGTGAGGGAAGATGGGTGGGGCACTTTCATATGCTTTTCTCCTGTGCTTTGTTAAAACATTTGAAAGCACTTGAAGAAAAAAAAAAGAAAGCACTTGAGATTTCTGGTGCAAAGAGCAAAGGCTAGCATTATGTGTTTAAATGCTTGAGATTTTATATCACAAATATGAAAATAACTTGTTGGATATCCCGGGAATAGAATCAAACAGGTCATTTGTATTTTTGCTGTTTTCCATATATGCTAATGTCTGTAACTAAAAAACAGGTGTTTAAAATAAGTTCCACTTCAGGACAAGGGAACCAATCTTCTAGGGATGACTAATTTAGGGAGTTTCAAAGTCCTAATTAACACTGATATTTACTAACCGTAAAATTAGTCTTTCTTATAAGTACTTTGTGTTTTTTAGGTGATTTGTTGATGCTTTATTCCTCTCATGTACCTTTACTACCCTCGACTTTGACTAATTTGGGATGGGATGAAAGACATTTTCACTTGAGTTACAATGCAAGTAATTACTCCTGTCAGGAAAGATTAGAACATAATAGTATAGACTAACAATAGCTAGTGCAGCAGCACTTACATGATTTCAGTTTGGTCTGTTTTTAGTACTTCCCATAAATAAAACATGTAAAGCACCAGAAAGTATGGGGGCTCTGCAAAGAATTTGGTTTTTTGGTCTTCTAAAAGTCCCTTAATTTCCTTATAGTCCTTAACCTGAGTACATGATGCCACACACCTGTGAAACTGTTGCAATCTAATTTTCTTAGAACCTGGGATTACCCTAAGAGCAAGAAAAACTGAACAGAAAAAAAAAAAAAAGCCCATTTAGAGAGGCACCAGCTAGTTGAGGTATAATCCCAACATTCTGAGATGAGGCTGCTCTCAAAATTACTAGGATTTCAATATTTTCATTTGCTTCTCTACTGCTCTTGAACTGCTACTTTCCCCAACTGACTCAACTTTGGGAGTTCCTTTAATGCCAAACTTTGAACCAACAATCGAACCTAAACTAAAATCTTATCTTTAGTAAAGAATAAGAGTAAATAATTTCTTATTCTCTCAAAGAGGCTTCTCATAGGGATATTTGAAAATTCACTATTAATTGCAAAAAAGGGGCATTTAGAACTAGTCATTCCTACCGAAAACATTCAAAAACTACAATGAAACAAGGATTTGCAAGCATCTAGGTTTTGCATGACACGGGTGAAAGACATTCATAGATGCTCTTCATTAGTAAATTATTACCTTTATTCCCAGGTACTAATTTGCAACTCCTTTCATAAGAACAAATGGAGTCTCTGAGATAGAAGTGAGTTGAGACCAGGGTTCTACAAGATACTAAAGGAGAGCTTGGTGGAAGAGTGTGTATCCCAACGAGGAAAGACCAAAGGGTCCAGGAAATTAGCTCCAGGCCAGGCCTCTATCATGCCAGCTACAATGCCTTGAACAGATTTTAAGTCTATTTGTGGTAATTTAAAAATATGCTTACAAATTATTTGACCCTTCTCCCACATAAAAGCAGTCTGTCCCTTCCCCATAGTGACTTCTAATAGAATATGGCATGTGGCAGTACAGAATGATTCTGAGGCTAGGTTAGAAGAGAGTTCAGCAACTGGCCACAGTTAGAATCCTGCCACCATGTTGTGAGAAAAGCTCAGGCCAGAGAGAAAGGGCATATATAAATGTTCCAGCCAAAAGCCACTATCAAGCACCAAACATGTGAGCCATTAAATGATCCTAGCCCCAAACTTTCCACCCATCTGAATGGAGCAGAGACCCGGAGTCCCAGCTAGAAGTGGCCTAAACTGCAGGTTTGAGAGCAAAATATTGAGTTAAGCTACTGAGTTTTGACGGGGTTTATTACACAGCAATAAATGACTAGAACAGTGTTTTTAATATTATCTCATCTCGAATTCCCACGACAAGCCTGAAAAGTAGGTACTGCTATCCCTTTTTGACAGAGGAATAAACAGGTCCAGAAAGATGGTATGACTGGCTCAGGTTTCACACCAAGGGGTGGAACCAGGATTTAAGAGCTTCAAAGAAGGGGCCTTCTTCATTATTCCTGATAGCAAAAGGATTATACTATTTTGACAGCCTCAGGAAGAACCTGGATTCCAAAAGCAGCTTGATTTCTAAATTCAGACAAGCGCTGTTTCATTACCTACAACATGTCTCTGAACAGGCTTTAAAAAAACAACCACCCAGAAGCTTTATGGATGTTGTATAAGGCTTTTTACCCACCTTATCCTTTGTAATCTTGACAACAGCCCCTGTGAGTGGGTTATCTTTCCAATTTTACTGATTAGAAAACCAAGGCTAAGGATAAAGAAATGGCCTAATTCTCCCCCAGCCCGTAGAGCGTGGTAGAGCTGGGATGCAAACTCGGGCCCACATTGCAAACGTTTCCCTCTGCCTCTTGCCTGCAAAAATAGGTAAGAAACACAGTTTATTTAAAAAAAAAAAAGGGGGGGGGGACACCTTTTATTCAATATTATAGAAGGAAAATGTTTTCGTAATTTTCTCTGTTGCCAAGACTCCTAAGGGAACTTAGCGATCACTCAATGCCCAATCCCCTGATTTTACATGTGAAGCTCAAAGACAGTAGAACCCTTCAGAGAAACGCAGACTTCACTACCCCTTGGTGAGAAAATTTACGTTTCCCTCTCCGCCTATGTATCGTTTCACACTAACCCCGGGCGGTCGCATGGGGCAAAAACCAGGACTGGGGATGCTCCTGCAGACCGGGCTCACGTGGGGTCTCCGTCAAATCTTTACGGATCACTCCTCCTCAGCACGGCATTTACTCTCATTTCTCAGAGCAGGGAAATTATGTTTGCTATTACTGCTCTGCTCCCGCCCGCCGGTCTCGCCACTGTGTGCTATGCGCTTGACGTTCGCCGGCTCAGTTTCACCCGGACGCACTCGCACTTCCCCTTCCCGTGCAGGTTACGGAAAGAATCGGGTTGTGGGCGGGGGAAGCCGTCCAGCGAATCTGTCAGACGCCTTCCGTGCATTCAAAAGCAATCGTGGCAAATTTGTCAATGCGACAATACGCAACGCCATAAACTTACAGAGAGGGGCCGTTTTAGAAACCCGAAAAAGTCAGGGCTTTGCCCAAACATTACACTGCTAACGAACCACCCGAGACTCGAGCCCACAAATGCCAGGCTCAAAAGACACGCCCCAGGTTCGCCTCAGACCGCCACCGCCGAAGCCCCAGGGCTCCCCGCCGTCGCGAACCGGGCGAACTCGGCAGCCGACGCGCTCCCCAGTCGCACCCGGCCGCGGACCCCAGCCCACCTCGCAGAAGCCACCGCCTTCCTGACAGAACCGCCGGGCGCGGGCTGCGGGCTGCGGGCTGCGGGCACCGCCCGCCCCGTTCCGCCCCGCCTCGAAGCGCGCGTGGGAGCGCAGCGTCCTCCCCGGGGCTGCCCGGGACGACCGCCTGTGCGCACCGGGAAGGGCTTCCGCCGCCGCCGCGCCAGCCCGCTCCCCGCCGCCGCCATCTCGTCCCCGCCTCCGCCTCCCCGCCGCCGGGCGCGCGCTGGGGCCGGCGCCTGGGGAGAGCGCCGCGATGTCTGTCTTTTCCGCCCGGCACCGCGGCGGCCACCTCACATCCGGGCGCGCAGCGGCGAAAGCGGCGCTGGGGCCCGGGTGCGTGGAGGGAGTTATTAAGGGGGAGGGGGCCTCGGAGGAGGAGCGGAGGGCTGGGCCGCGGTTACGGCGGCTGAAGAGAGACAGTCCGAGCGGGTGGGGGGGCGAGAGCGAAGGCCGCGGGAGCAGCCCTCGGACCGGCGCGGGCGGCGAGGAGGGGAGCGGCGGCCGAGCTGAAGGGCCGCCGAGCGGCGGAGGCACCGAGTAAGGGCCCGGCGGCGGCGGGAGCCGGGCGCCGCGCGTCCGGGGCACAGGGAGGGCAGGGGCGCGGGCGCGCTGCTCCCGGGGTCGCGTGCGTGAGCGCGAGCGCCGGGGCGCGCGCGGGGGGCGGGCAGGGGCGCGAGGCCGGCGGGGCGGCCGGCGGGCAGCAGGCGGGCCGGGGCTGGCGGGGCCCGAGCCGCCGGGCCGGGGCGGACGGCGGCGGTCCTGCGCCGGCTCCAGCTCGCAGCGGCCGGGCCGGGCCGGGCCGGGCCGGGGGATTCGGCCTCCCCGCTCCCTCCGGCCCGCCTCCCCTCCGTGAGTACAGTCCCCGCCCTTCTTCCGAAGGAGGCCGCTGGGCCGGGGCCTGCGCGAGAGGCCGGTGGTTGGGGTCGCGGCCCGGGAAAGCCGAGTTTCAGAGCTGGATCCGGAGCTCGCCCCTTCCTTGCCACGGGCGCCCCTGACATGGCCACAGGTGCCGCCGGCTGGGTGAGGGGCGCTCGGGCCGCAGCCCCACTCCCTGGCCCCTGGATAACAAGGGGCAGCTGGCGCCGTCCATTGGCAAGTGACAGGCACTTTACCACAGTCCGACTTCCCGGATCCCCAACCCCAGCCGGTCTCCTACCTGCCCCCACTCAGGAAACTTCCCCACTACTGTCTGAACGTCCTCATAGGTGGCAGTGACTAATTTTGGTTTCTTTTTGTCTTAAATCTGCTTAAAAGCTGTACCCTGATTCGAGTACCTTCCACTTATGCTTTCCTTACCCCTTTAATGCTTAGAGCACCCCAGCTAAGTACCAGTCGTTCTATTTCCAAATGGGTTCTGGTTTTGTGGAGTGAGGCTTTGTTTTTGTTTTTAAAAATAGTCCTTTTAAGAGAGAAGAGAGTCAGTGTTTTAAACGGTCAAGACTTCTGAAAACGTATTGTTCTCCATGACAGTTTCGCTGATTTATCTCCCAGGTGCAAAGAATTGTAGACCAAGGAACCATGGATAGGAGAAGTGTTGGTGAAACAGAAAACGGAGATGCTTTCCTTGACCTGAAGAAGCAACCAGCCTCCAAATCCCCCCATCGCTATACAAAAGTAAGTTTTGTTACTAATGGAATAGTGTTTCTTTATAGGTGGGGAGATTAGTAACATTGTGTAGGCATTTCATTAGTATTATCTAGAGTGGGAGTCTCATTCTGACTATGTAGACTAAATATTAACTAGATCTAGTAAAGCATTGCTTTGAATTTCTTTTTCTGCAAGTGTGAATATGCAGTTTAAACTAGAATTTGCTTCTAATTAGCTTTTGGGTGAAGGGAATATTGGCTCAGATGGCATTTGAATTTGTGGATCGGCATATGTTGACACACATGTTCTTTAGCACCTGTGTATGTTACTGATTTATATGCTATAGAATAAGATTTTCAGTTTTGGCATGCAGATTATTCAAGTTCTTCTATTTACAGAAGCTATTGCTTCAGTATCTTGTTGGTGCCTGAATGTTTCTGAAGGGGTTGACAGGAGTCAGTGAGGTGTGAGTTCATTTCTTATTCCCTGAAATGATAGAGTACCAAAATGTGCTTGGGACTGTTGATGAGAAGAGTCATGTTCTAGTTGGTCCCATATCTCTGTTTTCTAAGTGTGGACCCAATCAAGGGTTCTGATGTGGTTATTGTTCTTGATTTCCTAGAATAGTGACTGGGTAAAGTTTGAAGTCAGGTTTTGTTTTGTGTACTAGTGCCACTGCTCGTACTTACTTGGTAAAGTATCTAGTGCTGTCAGAGGAGTATTCATTTTTAGCATTAAAAAAACGATAACATTGTATTTATTCAGATTTGGTCTTTCCAAATGTAGTTTTTCCTCAAACCTGAGAGTGCTTGAATATGTTTCACAACTTCATTACCTAAAATGTTGACAGGTGAATTCTGAATGGAGTAAAGCTTATTAAATGAAGGGGAACTGATTTGAACTGCTCTCATAAACTTTTATGATTTCAACTCTCCTAGCACTTTTTGAATTAAAGTTGTTCCTAGTATTCTACTTGTAGAGTCCACACAGAGAGGCTTTTGTGTCACTTTCACACCGATCAGAGGGTAGCATGTATATGTCCTCTTTATATCCATATTTAGGCTTACGTCATTTTGGGGGAAGATATTGGTGTCTCCTAGGCTAGAACTTATGTGTGTCTACAGTAAAGATTAAGAAGCTCAACATTGCCCATTTGATAGTCCATTCTTAGAATTTTGTCATGCTTAGATAAATGTGCTTCAAAGAAATGATTAAGAAAAGCAATTTTTAGGTTGACAGTGGAGCTTAGATCTAATGGTCTTCTCTACCAAATTTAGTTGGAAATTCATTTACTGTCCACTCCATTAGAGAAGATTTAGTTAATGGCAGTGTTTAGGATTATGTTTAGGCAGTGTTTTGGGTGGTGCTTTTTTTCTTATATATGTGTTTCTCATGCTCTAGTAACGTGGTAACTTGAGGCAAACTAAGCCTTTCTCTTTGAAGAAAGCTTGAAGCCATTCTGTGTTCTAAGAATTGTAATAAATGGTCAGGTATTGCACAACTAGAATTATACTTCAGCCATCCTACTTCTTATCTCCAGTTTGAGATCAAACTATTAGAATAAATAAAGCATTTAGTAATGTTTCTGCCACTTCAAGTTCATGGGCTAGAAAGTTTAGAAGCAAGAGAAGGAAATTGTCCTCAGTAATTTTTATATATAAGCAATGTGTTTTGTGAAAACTTGCAAACGTAGGATGTTTACTACAAGATCAAAAAACACATTCACCAGATGAGAGGGCTCCTTAACCTTTGACCTTTCTTAGTTTAGCATTCATTTGATTTATGAGATGACATTAATGGTCTGTTCAGAATTCTAGGGTTTTTTTCCACAAGCGTGGAGGAGTTCAGAAGTTTGGCCTAGTGCTTTTCAGGGTTACATATCACAGTCTCATGCGTGTTCTGACATTCTTTAGTCCAGCATGCTTCCTAAACATTGATATGTCTGGGGACCACCTATGAACCCTTGTAAAGTGTGAATTTTGGTTGTTAGGTCATGAGTGGGCTTCAAAATCCAGCTTTTTAGCCTGCTCCCAGGTGGTGCCCATACTGCTGGTCCCCTGACCATACTTTGAGTAGCAAGGCTTTAGTCTTCCTTGCAGAACAACATATGATCTTGATGTTGTCAAGCAACTCAGATGCGTAATTACTCCTTGGGGTTCAGTTGGTGTCCATTGTGTTTCTATGAATGTCTCAGGAAGTAAAGTTAGAGTCATGTTAGATATTTTCAGGCCTACCTCTAGGCCTCAGTGATGGTTAATTGGGATGGTTATAAGTGGATTTATCATATGCACCTGTTATCCTGAGAGTCTTGAGCCCTTAATTTATAAGCCCACTCAGGCCCATTTTGCCAGGCCAGATTCCTAAGACCAAAAACTGTTTTGGTGGTACTTAAGTGTGCCATTATAAAGTGAATTACGTTGAAGGACTTATGGAGGCTACAGAGTGAGAACTCACCTAAAGATTATGGATTAAAAATGTCTTGGGCAGCCTGGGTGGCTCAGCGGTTTAGCGCTGCCTTTGGCCCAGGGTGTGATCTTGGAGACCTGGGATCGAGTCCCATGTCGGGGACTGCATGGAGCCTGCTTTCTCCCTCTGCCTTTGTGCCTCTTTCTCTCTGTCTCTCATGAATAAATAAATAAATCTTAAAAAAAAAAAAAGTCTTTAGACAGTGGTTCTCAAAGAATGGTCCCTAAACTAGCATTTAGCACTACGTGGTACCCTGTTAGAAATATTAAATCTCAGGCCCCATTTCAGTGGTATTAGACTCTAGAGGTAGAGCCCAGCCATCCACATGTATTAAATCTTTCAGGGAATTCTGAGAGCCATTGGTTTAGAAAGCAAGATGAGATGGTCATGCTTATTAATGGCAAAACTTTGGGACCCATTAACTTACCTTCATCAGAGGTCCTTGTTATACCTATTCTTACGGTGTAGTACCTACTGTTAATGATACCATCTTCTGCTTCAAATACAGAGTAGAAATGCTTTGGGCTGTTCCACTATTCAGATCCACATTCTTCTTTGAATGGACAGACTGCTCTTAGAGTATACATTCTTGGTGCTGTTCCTCCTTTGCTCCTGTATCTTGCCACTAATTCCTTATTCAGTGTTATTACCTGCCAGTTGAACAGGGTATAAAAGGAGACACTCATAACATTCAGTTTGATGCTGACCAGTGTTAATCATACATGTTAGATCTACCAGCTAAAAAGTTGGCATTGGATTATCTGAGTTTAATTTCATGTGCGCTTTTCATTGCCTTGACTAGTTATAAATTGGCACCATTTTAGTCATCAGTGTCTGTAGGGATCTTCAGAGGAGTCCACCCTGATCTGTAGCAGATGGGCAGTTAGTTACAGTGATACAGCCATGGTTATGTCTTTGCTTTACAACCATTAAAAAAATAGACAAGCATCTGAAGTGGATGGATTTAAGTAATTCTAGCCTTCTTGGAAAGAATCAGTT